GAAATAAAAGCCGAAAAAAACATTAACAAGCGGCAGCGAAAAAAAATTTAACTTAATTGCCAAACACACACTCACAAATACACACAGAGCCTGTACAGGGGCGTCCCTTTTCCAGAGAAAAGGGTGTTTTGTGTTGTGTTGTTGCTGTGGTTGTGTTTTCTCCGGAAGGGGGCGGTCGGAGGGGGTCGGGGGGAGGGACTCTTCTGCTCTTGGCGTGCGTGCGCCGTGCGATATAATTTATGTTTCAATAACTTTCGAAACTCATTGAAAAGTCGCTTATGTTTGCTTCAATGGCAGCGGCGGCAGCAATAGCAACAACACCAAACGCGCTTAAGAAGAATGCTAAAAGTACAACAATAAATTGTTTGGATTTACTAATGCGAGAAGGGGGCAGGGGGTTGAGAGTGCGGAGCTTTTCTCGATTTTCTCCCCCCCCCCAGCAGAGGAGCAGCAGCTTTTCTTAGCTGCCATTTGCCATTTTACTCAATTTTTTATTGTTGCTGCACTTGAGCGACCCCGCTTTGTCTTCTCGCCCGCAAGAAAATTCCCGCTCAACTTGCAAAAGTTTTTCGCTATTTTCCCACTCTCTCTCACTCTCAGCGCGTTTCGTTTTCCGTTTTCTGTTTCTTTTTTTCGTTTTTTGTTTTTTGTTTTTCTTTTTTCTGTTTCTGTGAATGTGTTTTGTTTGCCATTTGCTTTCATTTTGTTTTCCCGGGCTATGGCCTTTTTCCTACTTTTTTGTTTTATTTCTTTTTTTTTGCTGCCACTGCCTGCCTCCGCTACTGTTGTTCATTTTGTGCTTTTAAAATTTATTTGCAAGTTTTCTAATTTGTACTTCACTCCATTTTATTGTAATATACAATCTCATTTGAAGTGAGATATCTCGGGGCATCTATCTAGCACACACAATTGCAAGTAAATGGGGAAAAGGGATGTCAACACCGAAAGAAAACAATTGAAAAATCATTAGAAATTTGATTATCGTCTAAAATAAAATTATACATTAAAACTACTTAATATCAACTGAATTTTATAATATATATATGATAAATAATATATATAACGATTGTTTTAAATAAAAGTTAAAGCATTTGAGTTATTGAAATGGGAATTATCTACTTCCTAAACACTTAACATAAGGGCTCCTTAAAAAGGATTTATAGTATAATATCTATTGGTAAATAATATAGAATATATATTTAAATCAAAAGGAAATTGTAAGACTTGAATTCAACACATCACTTTTTGTATTAATACGAAATAAATTCGCCATTTATACATTTTAAAAGTCTTAATTTATAACCCTTGAGTTTAACTAAAGTTATAGCCTTTTTATGATAACAAACTAGCTCTAGAAACGTATTAAATCCTTTTATACCAATCTTAAAAAACTAAACCAAGATGAACCTTGGTTAAATATCTTTAACTTCCAATGTTCTATAAAGAAAACCCCCAGTTTCCTGCAGTGTAACGAGTTAGGAGGCGAAATGGGGGTGGGCCCTATAAGTATGCAATGCCTGCTGATGCCTGATCCTAGCGGCATATCCTTGTATCCTGTTTCGGCTGGGCGACTGGGACGCATATTTATTAACCACACTGTTGACTCTCGCTGCGGCAACTTTGCGTGCAGCTTGTTGCTCGCTTCTAACTCCATCTCTTTTCAACCAACTCGCTTGCTCACTCGCCCAGTCTTCCGGTTTGAATTTTGTTGTCGCACCTTCTCAGGAATTCTGTTTACATTTATTACTTTGCGCAAGTTTAAGTGAAAAATTTCCATAAACATTCTTTTAAGCGACATAAAGTTTTTATTAAATTTTGCTAGAAATCCCTGACACGATGATATCAGGCAACAACGGCAACGGCAACAAATAGGGCTGCGGAATTTACAACTACCAGAGGGTAGGTACAACACCTGCCGCCGCCCCTCATTCTTCGTCCTTTCGTTATCCTTCCACATCCGCTACCATCTCCATCTCCTCATCCACTTGCCGCCATGGTTTTAAGATACTTTCCACTGGCATCCGAGGGGAAGGAGAGTTCGAGGGGTGCTGCAAAGTGCCAACTGTTTTACTGTTGGCAGTACGAGATACTGCTTCAGCTTCTACTGCACGCAGTTCATAAAAATTTTGCCAGCCAACATGACATGCACAAAGGCGAAAGGACACACAGCTCCAGCGAGCTCCGAGATCCTGCAAGTGGAAAAGAGCTGTAGGAAGGTGGCGTAAACTTTCGTCGCTTGTTAACCTGAAAGCCTCGCCGCCGCCACTCCACTGACATTAGATGAAATTCAATTAAAACAAAGATATATTTCGTTGGACAAATTCCAGCGCAGTTGTTTAAGCTGCTGGGGCAAAAAATGCGCTGCAGAATGAATGAAAAAAAAAACGGTGAAGCTTCCGCACCATAAAATGCTTAATTAGTGCAAAAAGAGAGTCAGAGAGAAAGCGGCACATAAACACTTGCTAGTTGCTGAAAGGACCTGGGTTTCATTTGATGAATATTGACTCGATTAAATGCTGCCTGAAAGGATAACACAGGGAAAATAAGCAAGAGGAGGAACAAGGAAAACACTAGTTCTCAATGAATAAAATAAATTAAATTAGGAGAAGGTTGTTATTTGGGAGATCATTGAGGATGTTAAATGAATGGATGTTTATTTTGTTAGCTATTTGTTGTTAGGGATATTTAGTAACAAAATTATATATATTATAATATTATTTACTTACTTCTAAAGAAATATATTAAGAAATAAACTAACTTGTGAGGAATAAATAACAAACAACATTCAAATATTGCGTATACGCCCCATTAAATTCTCAATAAAAGCAGGAAATATACAAGAAAGGAAATAAAGAAAAATGCTGTTTCACAATGAAATAAATTAGTTAAAACTGAGCAAAGATTGTTAGCTCTTCGATGCCTTGTAAAATGTTCAAGTTAACAAGAACATTATTCTTAAAGCTATTGAATTAAAAAAAGTTTCAGAAACGTTGTATCGGCAAACTATGCATACGAATTTACAACTAATAATTTATTAATAAAATGTAGGAAAATACATTTCCTATTGTTGTATATATTAACTAAAAACCAAATGACTAAAAGCAAAAAGCAACCTTCGCATATTACGTATACGCCCCATAAAACGAAAGATATGGCAGCGTTTGAAGAAAAATTCGAGCTCTCAATAAATTAAGACCAGATAAAGTATATTTTACTCACGCATAGATCTTAAATTGCTTAGAGTGAAAGTTAATTTTAGAAATAAATTTAATGCAGAAAAATAATCTTAAGAAATATATGAGCTGAATCATATCTTTACCAAAGTTATAAGAATTCAATTAAAATGTAATATATTAATTAGATTTAATAGAATTTTATTGTTTTATTTGAATTTATGAAAGTTTTTAAGAAATATAAACCTTCAACTAAATAAATTAAGAGCAAAAAACCAACAAGAGCACCATCCGTACATTGCGTATACGCCCCATAAAATCTGCTAATAAAACAAAGCATAAAGAAATATTTTAGCTCTTAATAAACATAGAGTAAATAAAGTTTGTTTATTCCTAGATAACTCATTAAATATTTCAAGCGCAAGGAAATATTTTCCTAACACGATTTAATAAATTTTAAAGAAACTTTAGGGAATATGTCAATATGTCATTTTTAAATTTATGATTATTAAGTCAAAAGTTAGTGCATTTAGTATAAATGTGTTATTTGCATTATTTTTTTATATATTAATTAAACTAACAACTTATGAATTAAAAGAAAAAACAAACCAACTTCCACATATTGCGTATACGCCCCATAAAACACTTGCAATTAGTTAAAAAAAAAAAGATTACCGACTACGGCTTGAATTTGTATTTGATGTATATGAAAATTGAAATTGACTCGTTTAAATGCTGTCTCATTATTCATACTGTCCGCAGAAACCAGCTAATTTACGTTAAGCATTTTTAAATAAGGTCAAAGTGCAGGCAGAGCCGGCGACGGGGAGGGGGTGAGGGGTGAGGGGTGGTCACTGAAGAGGGTCTCCGGATGGGTTGAGGTATCAGCCACGTTCAGCCAACTGAAAGTTGATCGAAACCGCAACAAATGACAAACGTTACGGGCAAAATACACAACACAAAAATACACCCCCGCACACACACACACACTCGCACACACACACATTTCGGAAAAGGCTAAGGGGTACAGGAGAGGAGTAATAGGTTGGAGGGGAGTAACACAGAGGGAAAAAATAAAATCAATGAAAATGAAAACCAATTAGCGGTTAACCAAACTGTTCAAATTTGGAAATGGATGCAGCCGTGCATGGTCATAAACAACAACAACAACAACAATAGTAGCAACAAAGATGGCAGAAAATACAGGCGGGCCGTTAAAAAGGGACAACAGATGAGCGATAGAGAGGTCAATAGCACGCAGCAAGGGCTGAAAGGTAAAAGGTTGCCGGGTTACAAATTTATTACACGAAAATAGGAAATAATTAAAATCTGTTCGAATGCGGATACTATTTCGCCTTCGAAAAAGAGTGGGGGGAACGTCAAAAATTAATGCGATGAGGAAGAGCCTTTTGATTGATAAATTAAGAGCAAGTAATTAAATGGAACACGAGAGCTGAGTGCAAGGAAAATAATTAAAGCGGCTAAGAATATTCCATGAATTAATCAATTTTAGTGATTAATTCTCGGTTATATACCTCTAAAATGTTTTATATATCTTAGAATACTTACAAACCCTATATACAACAATACATTTGAATAGTTACAAGTGAAAAATCCTTCAAAGGACCTTTCTATACTCAAAGCCCACTCGTTTATGTCTCCCATATAAAACCCAATAAAACATTTAAAATGTATAAGCCATTTTTCCCACCTGTAGCATGTTTTTTAAGCATTCTCCCTCAAAAAAAACTCTCTCTCTCTCCAGATATTCTTAGAAAACCCACCACCAATCCAAGGACAACTCCTTCGTAATCCAATTTCACTCACCTGGATCTGCGCGTCGTGGGATCCTTCATGACCATAGCCTCTGAGATATCACCGTAACGTCCAAAGTAATCGCGTAAGCTCTCTGAAAGTAAGATAAACGTAAGGAAATGGGTGAGCAAAATGCACTGAATAATCAATCAAAAGCGGGTTTATGAAATGTCCTGGGGGTTACACTCAAGTACGGCCATCAAAATCACGATGCCAAAGTTACTAATTTCGTTACGCGCTTAATAAAAATAAAACCCAAATCAAAAACACAACAAAAATCCACAACAAAAATCCACAACAAAAACAAATACGTTAGAGAGAAACGAATTTCGCGTGAAGCCCAAATAAACAAACTGGTTTGGTAGACCCGAAAAGGCTCCTTTCCGCTGACAGAAGGATTCCCCTTAGATGTCCTTCTCTGCCTCCCCTTGCATATGCAACTGGACATTATTCACATGCATACACAGAGTGCACAGAGAGAAAAGAAAGAGCAACATCTAGTATATTGTCATATCTGTCCTATAAGTTACAGAGGCTTTCGTTAACTTTAAATTACTAAAATTGTGTTTATAAGTATTTAATATTAATATTCAATTGTATGCTTAACAAAAACCTGTTTTTTTAAATATTTTGATAAATTCAATTGAAACCCCATTTTTAAGTGAATAAATTATATAAATACATTAATACATCCCCATTTATTTTTAAATACTAACAGCACTTGTCCAAAAAATATCTTAAGTCTAGTAAATAGGTCCCCAAATATTGTAGAATATTATTATCCTTAAAAATTATAAATTTATTCCAATCTTTTCCAAACTCTACCTATATTTATTGTCTCTGTAAACACATACAAAACACACACAGACCACTTCAGAGTCGCTGCTTTGGCGGTTGCCAGCGGCAGCTGTTGTCTGCGGTTTTGCGAGCTAATCTGACTCTGACTCCAACCGGAGGACTCGCAGGATCCAGGACGCCGGAGGAGGAGAGAGAGAGAGAGAGGGCAGTGGAGTACCATGGCCCGGATGGAAGCACTTCAGCGGCACGTACGCACACAAACGCAACACTGAAGTTATTTCAACAAAATTGCCAGACTGGAGACGAAGGGGCAGGGTATGGGGCACACGACAGATACCAAGGCTCGTTGGCTGCGATTTAATGCAGCAAAAACAAGCAAAATAAAAAAAATAAAACCGATAAAGTCATCTCTCATGGCTATGGCCCTTGCTGTGGCCCCGGCTATGGCTCTGGGCTGGTGGGAACCCTAATCCAGTCGAGTGTCGACGCTGCCGTCATAAATTCAAACTACAATAAAAATTCAATAAAACAAACGATTTTGCTGCTCACGCCGCCGCGTGGCCAAGACGCTCTCCAGCCATAAATGTGGTGCGAGAAATCGCACCCTTGAAGCACCACCACCACAATCACCACCGATCCCAGCCCAAAATATCGCAGCAACACCACCACCAACTTACACACACGCACCAAAAACCAGTCTAGAGCAACTAGTTGCGCCATGTTTCGATGCAAAAAGTAACACTCGAAAAATAGAGTATAATGTTGTAGAAATAAATATAAATTCATTTAATATATAGAATAAAGGAAAATAACAAATATGGCTTAATAAATATAAAATATACTTTGGGTTTTATGAACAAGAAAATACCAGTTCTAGTGATAATTCTAAGACTACAGTGCTCTACTACTTAGAAGGTCAAACCAACTTAGATCACAATAAATACTAATATTGAATAAATAAGGATTAGGAAGGACATGTCTTTGGGATATCAAAATAATTATAAAAATTTACTGAAAATTCTCAAACATATATATCATATTAATAAATATTAATATAATCCATTTCCAGACCTCTTACCTCTTTCTAAAAGTGCATAGAAAATCTAAGTGGAAAAATGGCTTGTGGAAAATGGTTGGCACACACACACACACACAGACACCAGTCAAGTGGGGGCAATGCAACGCAAAACGCGAAGCGCGTCGCGTGATTTACATAAGTATGCACAATAATTATGAACAATAAAAAACAATTTGTTTGCTTATGACAGTTTTGGAACCATAAATAACAACACCAACTGGCGCAGAGCGCGGTTCGAGTGGCATTTTGTGGATGTGGAAAATGCTAGGAGGGTGGTTGGAGGGGAAAAAGTAGTCCTCTGTCTGGCCCGCGTGTGTGGCATGCAAATTGATGGGGCAGCCAAAGGGTTGCGTTCCATTTCGTTACGTTCGTTGCGTATGTGGCGCTGCAAAGTATGCTACACTTTAAGTTTTAATGGGCAATTGCCGCTCTCTCTCTCTCTCTTTCTATGCCGGAGCGAGCAGACAGGAACAAAAGGGTGCCCCAGGTGAGGCAGGTGAGGCGACACTATTCTATGGCATGACTTGCCCATTAGTTGAAGTTGAGGTGTAAATAAACCAGTTGGGGTTACGTTCTACCCTTCTTCTCCTTCTTCACCCTTACGAAAAACCCCAGAACTGTGATTGAGTGGGTCACGGGAAATGAGAATTCGCAGGTCATTTGTTTCGCTGGCTCATGAAGTTATAATAGCAGTCGGTGGTTATGTGATTTTTATGCACAATTTTTGTATAAATTTGAAGAGATTTTAGTTTTAACAAATTTTAAATAAGAAGGTAAATGGGTTTTTAAGGGATTTAAATTAAATTAAAGTTCCCTATGATGCATTGCGTTGTTTTCTGTTCTTCAAAGATTTATCACTTCTCAATTAATTCCCAACTCTATTCTCTTTCATAACTCACTCAATTAATTCCCATTTGTTTATGATTTAGTATCCGGACTTCCGAAATCCCGGTGAAATGTCAAACTGAAATAAGACGTCATCAACGTGTCAATCACAACATGTGCTATAGCTTAGACACGTCGCTGTACTCTTCTGTCTTTCTGCCCAATTAAACCCCCCATTCGCCCACGTTTCTCGCAGTGCAGTCTCTCCCCCCTCTTAAGCCCCTTTCGCTGTCAACTGAATGCGACGTTCAGTTTTTGAGTGACAGCTGCAAAGTTTGTTTTGCATTTCATATTTGCAAGCTCGTCTGCAGGCCTCTCCTCCCTACTCTCCCTACTCTCCCTACTCTCTCCCTCTCTGGCAGTGCCAACTGTCACTTGACCGGCCAACAGACCCTACTCTCCTCCCCCCGCCCCCGCAAAAACCAACATGGCCAATAGAAAAGCTGGCAAACAAAATAAATGTGTAAATGTGAAGAAGAGAGCAAAAAAAAATGGGAAAAATAAAAGGAAATGGTCAACAAATTAAAACGCGGCAAAATAAAAATAAAATTAAAATTTATTTGCTACACGAAAAAAAGAACGCAACCCAAGAGCTGTGAAAAATAAAAAGAATAAAATAAAATACACATAACAAAAGAAAGAGAGGGAGGAGGTGGATGAAAGAGGCAGCGACAAGAGCGAAATATATTGTAACGGGCCAAAAGCCAAACTTGGATTTAATTAAAATGTTTACCACAGTCATTTCATTTTCATAGCCAGCAAACATAAATTTTGAAACGCACCCAGGGCGGGGGCAGGAAAAACTGGAAAACTGAGGCAGCTGAGAGACAGAGGGAGAGAGAGAGAGCAAGCGAACCGCAGAGCGAAACAGCTGCAAGAAAATGCCAAAAACCATTAAACTTGCCCCCTCCCAAAACACACACACACACACACAAAAGTGGAAATTTTGATTGTTGCATTTTTGGTTTGGGGTGAAACAATAAGCGATAAACAAAATAGGTTCAATCTGGAAAAGAAAATGAATTTGCAGGTAATTAGTTCAAGCAGGCTCAAGCACACACACACACGCACGCACACACACTTAACCGAAATGATCCCAAATCCATTTAGTAAGATTATTTATAAGAAAACTCATGCCCCGAGACTTTTGTGCCATGCCCCAACTCTCAGCCGAAGGCAATCCGTTCTGCGGTTGCAGGCATATTAACCCCTTAACGTCCTGCCAGGCATGGCATCCCTTAACCCCTCTTCCGCCCCCCGCCCCAAAAGGTCCCCTCAATAGGCCACCGCACATGTTGTCAAAAGCACAATGCTGAAACCATAAATTTATGTGCTTTCTATTGTTTTTGCCAAAGAAAGCGGAAGTTGTGTGTGCTCTGCGGTAAGCAGAGGGGGAGGTAGGGGGGATGCTAGAAAATGCTAGAGGTAGGGGGTAGAGGGGTAGAGTAGGGAAAAGCACAGCAGGAAAACAGCAACAACACAAAAAACCAGAATGAGTGAAAAAGGTGTGCGCAAAGGGATTTCAATCAATTGTGAGGCGAACTGAGGCAACTGGCAGTCAGAGCAACAAAAACTAAAGCTCAGTTCTCTGTTTTAGCTCTGCTGGGAAATGCACTGAGAGAAATCGTAGAGTAACCAAATTAATTGTGTTATGTGGAGCTTAAGTTTTACTTAATTGAAGTGAATACCCACACCTTTCGGTACAACTAACCATTTAAAATTATCAAAACCAATAAATTATGGTTAAAGAAGATTAAAAATGGTTTTAATAAAAAATCTACAGAAATTCTAAATTTATTTTTTAAATTTTATTTTACTATATAATTTGTTAAAAAGGATGGCAATATGTTTTATAATTTACACATATAAATTATTGGAAAAAATTATTCTCAGAGTTACCAAATAATCAAGCTAAGGTCACACCATTTTAAGACCAAATATAATTCTTACCAGCGCAAGGTTCTACTGATTTTAGTATCCTAGCAAAAGGAAGGAAGTTCTTAACCTTTTCCATTAATTGTTCTCTTAAGCCTATTTAATGAAATGCAAAGTCGAATTGAATCAAAACATATATCTTTTAATATATCATCTATCCTCTTTCTGACTCCTAATCAATTTATTTTATTAACTAAAAACCTTTAAATATTTTCCTAATTACTAAAGATACCTTAACTTAAAATATATTAACTTTTTCACAGCGCATCGTTTGTTGGAAAACGCAAATTGCTATTTTGTCTGAACAGCAAACGAGATGGCAATTCACTGGCACAGACAAGGACAGACAGAGAGAGAGGGAGTAAAAGAGACAGGACCATTTACATGGACACAGGGAG